ATAATTGTCTTGATCTAAGACTTATTAGTTCAGATTCTAGGGTATCGATTTACTAAAGACAAATAAGCCTTCACTTTGCAAGGGAATTTCATTTGTCAAGACAATTTCCCTTAGCATAGAGAATGTGGTGAAAATTCACTTTGTAAAGAATACCCACTGTAAGGGAATTCCCGTGAGACGGCTGGTGAATAGACGTGCACATGTGCACAGAAATGCACAATCACGCACACGCACGGTGAAGATTGGCGTCAGACAGACTATTTAAGAGGTGCCTCTGCCTGTGCTGAGTACTGACTGGTCTTCAGCTGTTCCCTGTTTCCTGCATGTTCCTGTGTGTGATTTCCTTCTTGCTGACCCGGCTTGTTCCTGACCTGACTCTGATTCCTCTCCGGCTTGATACTGGTTCCTGATTTCGGCTCTGCTCCTGACTTTGGCTTGCTTATGATTTGGTACCTCGCTGTCCGCCCGTTGATGACCCTGGCTATTCCTTTGACACTGTCCTGTCTCCTATCCCTGCTTCCTACCTTGCTCTGGTGCACACCTTACGATCTACCATACCAGCTCTGCATATTACTACTGTGCCTGAATCGGAGGTTCATCAGTCTTCCAAAGTCTCCAACTGCAAGAGCTGCAAACAACATCTGCTGGCGCTCTTGTCCCCCTGGTCCCTAGACACCCTCTGTTCCACTTCCAGTGGGGTCAGGGCTAGTGACACAAGTGAGGCCGACCTTGTCATTTCAGTCTCCAATCAGGTACGTGACAGTACCAGTCAGCCAGTGATGGAGTCGGAAAGAAAGGCCTCTGCAATGGGGGACATCTGTCAATGAATCTCTGCCTTGTCTTACATGGTGCAGAGTTTGCAAAAAAACCTTGAGCACATGGAAAACCAACTACCAACCAAGTCAGATGTCTCAACAGCCATGGGTCCTTCTGCAGCAGGGGCGGACTGACCATTCAAGCACTCGGGCACTGCCTGAGGGCCCGGGGTCAGTAGGGGGCCCCATGAAATGCCCCTGGTACCTTTTTTATAAGCTTTTTTGAGTGTGGGCAAGGACACAGGGGCCCCATGATCCCCTATTGCCCGGGGGCCCCATGAGTTGTCAGTCCGCCCCTGTTCTGCAGTCTCAGACATAACTACCCAGACAGAGCTCAGCATGATTCACGGAACTTCTCCACCGGAACCTCGGGTTCCAATACCTGAGTTTTTCACGGGAGACCGCAGGAGGTTTCGAACCTTTCGTAACTCGTGTGAGCTATATTTTCTCTGCTGCCAAGAACCTTTGCATCACAAGGCACCAGAATGGGATTCATTATTTCACTCTTTCAGAATGGACCCCAATCCTGGGCACACCATCTTCGTGAGCACCATGATCCGGCTCTGACTTCTACGGACTCTTTTTTCTCAGCGATGTCAAAACTTTATGCTGATCCCTTCCGTTGTCAGACTGCGGAATCTATGCTTAGTAAGCTACAGCAAGGCCAAAGGCCTATAGAGGAATATGTTACCGAGTTCCGAATATGGAGTTCTGACACTCAATGGAACGAGTCTGCTCTCCGCCATCAGTTTCACCTTGGTCTCTCTAACATCTTGAAAGATGAGCTTGCCCGAGTTGGGGTGTCTTGATCTGCTCCGAAATTGAGACTCCTGTCCCCTCACCCAGTGCTGTAGCATCAGACATACTCTCCAGCAAAAGGGGGCTTCGTAATTCTCCTCATAGGAGCTTTTGGAGACCACCATTATCCTCTGCTGAACGTCTTCGATGACAAGACTCCAACCACTGCCTCTACTGTGGTGATGCAGGTCACTATGTACTGACATGTCCCTAGACACCCTCGGTTCCACTTCCAGTGGGGTCAGGGCTAGTGACACAAGTGAGTCCAACCTCGTCATTTCAGTCTCCAATCAGGTACGTGACACCCACTCACGTGCAAGAAATTTGAAACAAAATTATTTTTGCTTGCACATGATTGGGTGATAGAAGTGAACAGAGATTCACATCCTTTACTAAGCTAAGGGAAAAAGCTCAGGGAAGCCTACTTGCCTTTAGTAAATTAACCCCTAGGTCTCACAGTTTTGTCCACTGGGACACGCAGCATCTTAAACCTTAAAAGGGACATTTTTTATTCAAGTAAATATTAGAAAAGTTTTTAAACAAGTGCAGCGCTCTCTCTCCTATCTGGACTTATATAAATGTGCTCCCCTAGGAAAAAAAAACAAAACAATAAAACTGACATAAAATATTTTCTAATCATTTCTATACAATTATACTTTTGTGGTAATATGCAGAAAATTTCTAAAAAAATTCTGGTGACCTCCATTAACATATTATGATTTAATTGTGCAACATAATTCCACCAAACAACATGCAAAACACATATAGATGTGAAATATAACAAACAGGAGAAAGTCATCAATATATATATATATATATATATATATATATATATATAAATCATATGATTTATCTATTTAAGTAAATATAATGGTCACTTTATTAATGAGGGTGGGTGGAACTTTTAACCATAAACTGTAGATAACATAATGAAACAACACACCATCTTCAAACAATTTCATAACAGAAAAGCCACTGTTATCTTTTTAACAATGTGACTTAGCTTATTACCCAGTAAAATATATTTATACAGTCCTGTATGTTTTTTAAACAGTAGCCCAGAATAAATGTGAACATATATTTTTGATTTCGAACTACACGAAGAAACAAACACTTAAGACAATGGACATATTCGTCATCTGGATTTACCCATTACCATCACAGTGCTAATTATTTCTGAACCTTTGCAGTATTGTGTTCTATTTGATAAATAATTCATTCTGCTATAATCCCAGACTTTGCTTGAACCTATTTATTTTATCTCTTGCTCTATTCTTTTATTTAGATTACATTTTTTTTACAATACCAACTCACTCAACGCATACTAATCTGGATTTAAATATTTCACCATTTCCATTTTCATGTAAATGGAGCTATTCCATTTGTACTACCAAATCACTTTGTATTGTCAAATGACTTTGCCTTTTTTTTTTTTTTGCAGGTATGTCATTTTTCACTATGTCAGAATTAAATGATTTTTATCAAGTCGTTCTGCTCATCTCGGGAGACCAATTTCCTGCCATCAGATAATAGTCGGCAATTACATTTATTACAGTCCAAGTCATGGTGTGTCACAGCATTTCACAACTGATAAATTAAACTGGAAAGCCGCACCTTTCTTAGATGAACACAACTGTCTGCATTTCAATCTTCTAAAGATAAAACTGCTATAAATGTTTGTCCCAGAATGTTCTGTGAGGAGCTGACTCACTGCAGTGTACAGACACCTTATACATTGGGATTACAGAAGAGGTTTTACAAACGACAACTTAACCTTTGCAATGTAGTTTTTGCTTTGTTATAAGAGATACACTAATTGAGGTCAGTCAGTTGTTCATCCACTGACACAGAAAAAAGAAATGATGACTAATAACTTGCTATCAGAAAATTCATAAGTCAGCATAGACATTTTTAGGAATAGGGACTCAGAGCCAGTTTACTAACACAGCCAGTGACCCCCTCCCTGAACATAACTCAGGAATGCACAACTTTTCCAACATGGCCATAACACCTACTTAACCTGGACTTGTTAGAAGTGAAATCTGTAAATAGCTATTTTAATGTCTTAACAGGTCTGGAATGAAACACTGCAGTATGTCAGAGTTTGGTTATCATCTTAATTTCTGTTAACAGTAAACTCTGAGAAAAAGGTTATCAGTGTTTCCGACTGAAGGATATGGGATTAGCTCTTCACAAAGCTGTAAAAGCATTCCAGTTTTTCATTCTATGAACCTCAGGGTAAATAAACTTATTAAAAATACATGGAGTGCAAAAAAAATTGTTATACACAGGGCTAGTTGATATAGTAAAAACCATTTAGGTCTGATCTATACTGAGAGCTATCCTACTTGACCTGTAAAAGACACCTTCTTCAACTGACAGTTTCATAATCTAAATATAATTCATAAATTGAGATATGGTAAAGCTATCCTGATTATCTATCTATCTATCTATCTATCTATCTATCTATCTATCTATCTATCTATCTATCTATCTATCTATCTATCTGTCTGTCTGTCTGTCTGTCTGTCTGTCTGTCTGTCTGTCTGTCTGTCTGTCTGTCTGTCTGTCTGTCTGTCTATCTGTCTGTCTGTCTGTCTGTCTGTCTGTCTGTCTGTCTGTCTGTCTGTCTATCTGTCTGTCTGTCTGTCTGTCTGTCTGTCTGTCTGTCTGTCTATCTATCTTATATACACACACACTATATTTGCCTTTACACGCACATAAACTTTAATGGCATCCCAGTCTTAGTCCGTAGAGTTCAATATAGAGTTGGCCCACCCTTTGCAGCTATAACAGCTTTAATCCTTCAGGGAAGGCTGTCCAAAAGGTTTAGGAGTGTGTCTATGGGAATGTTTGACAATTCTTCAAGTAGCACATTTGTGAAGTCAGGCATTGATGACAGATGGGAAGGCCTGGCTCGCAGTCTCCGCTCTAATTCATCCCAAAGGTGTTCTATTGGGTTGAGGTCAGGACTCATCCATGTCTTTATGGACCTTGCTTTGTGCACTGGTGCGCAGTCATGTTGGAACAGGAAGGGACCATCCCCAAACTGTTCTCACAAAGTTGGGAGCATGAAATCATCCAAAATGTATTGGTATGCTGACTTCTTAAGAGTTCCCTTCATTGGAACTAAGGTTTCGAGCACAACCCCTGAAAATCAACCCAACACCATAATCCCCCTCCAAAAAACTTTACAGTTGGCAAAATGCAGTCAGACAAGCACCATTCTCCTGGCAACTGCCAAACCCAGACACAAACATCAGATTGCCAGACAGAGAAGTGTGGTTCGTCACTCCAGAGAACACGTCTTCACTGCTCTAGAATCCAGTGGCGATGTGCTCTACGTCACTGCATCCAACACTTTGCTTTGCTCTTAGTCATGTAAGACTTGGATGCAGCTGCTCGACCATGGAAACCCATTCCATAAAGCTCTGTTGTTGTGCTAATCTGAAGGCCACACGAAGTTTGGAGCTCTTTTGCTATTGACTCTGCAGACAGTTGGTGACTTCTGCGTACTGTGTGCTTCAGCATGCGCTTACCCCACTCATTTTATGTGGCTTACCTCTTTATGGCTGAGTTGCAGTTGTTCCCAGTTGCTTCCACTTTGTTATAATATCACCAACAGTTGACCGTGGAATATTTAGTAGCAAGGAAATTTCAACGATGGACTTTTTGCTCAGGTGGCAACCTATCACTGTACTACGCTTGAATTCACTGAGCTCCTGAGAGCCACCCATTCTTTCACAAATGTTTGTAGAAGCAGTCTGCATGCCTAGGTGCTTGATTTTATACACCTGTGGCCATGGAGGTGATTGGAACACCTGAATCCAATGATTTGGAGGGGTGTCCCAATACCTTTGGCACGATACTATATATATATATATGTATATATATATATATATATATATATATATATATATATATATATATATATAATTACCAAACCTTAGATGTGGTGACTGAATTACTTTATTTTTCCTATATTTTTACCTGGTAATACTGCCAGTAGAATACTTCTACTTCCAAGGATGACAACAGTCAGTCACTATACTATATATAATGGCAATAGATACAGAACAGGACTACTGAGAGCTCCCCTGTACTCTTGTACATAATATAGGTGGGGTTCCATAGTCCTCAGAACAATATGACTGATAGCAGGGCAGCTCAGACACAGAGCAAAGAAAGGTAATAGCTGACAAGGTTTCTAGCAAGATTGCCATGTATTTTAAAGCACTGGTCTTTCCTGCCTGCAATCAGCTTCCTCTGCCACCATTTAAGAAAGTAATTGGTGACTGACTTTTTGTCAGGGTGCAGCAATGAAGTCCTGGCAATGTCACCAGTACCTATTGAAAACCAGGAAGTGGCATAAAAAACTCTTTGATAGTACAAAAGACTTAACAATGTTTAGGGGTATGCCTGCAGAGCTATTTGCACCATGGATTTTTATGTTTGGGGTTATGTTTTAAAGGTATATTAAACATATCAACAGGGAATAAATAAGAAGGGTTCAAGGTAAGGATTCATTCACATGGGCTCATGGATCAGTACCTCAAAGGGGCATGTTCATGTGCTCAGAGAATGACAGGTGTTCATACAGTCACATGCAGACAGCCTGTCAAAATCAATTACAGTCTGAGAGATGTAGCGGCTGTGCAGATCTTGGTACACATGCCAGCCAGTGGTTACATTCATACAGATTTAATGGATGGATACACAGATCTGTACACAGATAACTTTCATCTTTGGATAGGCCTCTATCATGCTTTGTATTCTTGGAGTCTTGATTTTCCCCTTTCATTTATCTCACACAGCAGGATGATCGTGTAATGCTTGATTGCATCTCAAATATCTTCTCTTTAAGATGTCCCAAACCAGAACTTTCATTTGGCCCTCAATTGGCAAGTGGCAATGCAGATCTATACACTCTGCTTCTTGTCCAAGCTGCAACTTGTGATTGTCCTTCCTGCATAATGTGTCATTAAGTCTGCATAATCACTGTCCAGTGAAAAAAAAAGATCAAAGGTATGAACACCCAGAATAATCACAGCACACCAACCCCTTGAGCTGAAACCGCCCCCAGTGGTCTAATGTAAAGAATGACCAGAATATATGTATAATATATATACACTGCTCAAAAAAATTAAACACTTTTTAATCAGACTATAGCATATAGCAATGAAATTAACAACAGGTGCACTAGCTGGGCAACAATGAGACGATCCCCAAAACAGGAATGGTTATACAGGTGGAAGCCACTGACATTTTTTTCCCTACTCATCTTTTCTGACTGTTTTTCACTAGTTTTGCATTTGGCTAGGGTCAGCGTCACTACTGGTAGCATGAGGCGATATCTGGACCCTACAGAAGTTGCACAGGAAGTCCAATTCCTTCAGGATGGCACATCACTATGTGCCATTGCCAGAAGGTTTGCTGTGTCTCCCAGCACAGTCTCAAGAGGATGGAGGAGATTCCAGGAGACAGGCAGTTACTCTAGGAGAGCTGGACAGGGTCATAAAAGGTCCTTAACCCATTATCAGGATTGGTATCTGCTCCTATGAGCACTGCCAGGCCACTGGAGTGAATGTCTCTGACAAAACAATCAGATAAAGACTTCATGACTGTAGCCTGAAGGCCTGACATCATCTAGTGGGTCCCTGTGCTCACTGCCCAGCACCATAGACCTCGACTGGCATTTGCAATTGCACACCAAAATTGTCAGGTCCGCCACTAGCCCCCTGCACTTTTCACAGATGAGAGCAGGTTCACCCTGAGCACATGTGACAGACGTGGAAGCGTCTGCAGAAGCCATGAAGAAGTTTATGCTGCCTGTAACATCATTCAGCATGAACATTTTGGTGGTGGGTCAGTAATGGTCTGGGGAGGCATATTGTCAGGAAACTAGTGCAGTTAATGCTAATTCTTCTGCAGCTCATGTGAATTCCTCTTTAGCTACTGCTAATTCCCATGCATCTAATGCTCATTTATGTGTACCAGCACATAGACAAGCCCAGGCTAATATTCAGCATGCACTGACACGTAGGTGCATTCCTATGCACCATCGACCATCAGCGCGCACTTCTTCCTGCATTGGCACCAAGCTGCCTATTTAAAGGAGACTCAGCTGTGTACTAATTGCTGGATGTTCTTCAGCTTCCTGTGACCCGTGCTCCTGCTTGTACTGACTGATCTTCTGTTGCTGACCTGGTTTGCTCCTGACCTTGCTTTGTGGATTCCAGATTCTGACCTCAACTTGCCTTAGACTACTCTCTGCCTGATCTCCTGGTGCTGACCTCAGCTTGCCTCTGACTATGCTCTGCCTGATCTCCTGGTGCTAATCCCGGTTTGCTACTAGACATCGCTCTGCTTGCTAACCTGGTACTGATCTCAGCCTGCCTGCTGACCACGCTGCTGTCTCACTGTTTCTGACCCTGGCTCAACTGCACTACATTCCTGACCGTGGCAATCACCTGCTATCAAGCTATCGGCACCTGTGATTCTTTAAGCCTTATACCCCTGTCATTACATTCAGGGGTGCTTGGACTAAAGCCACAAAGACAGCCCTCTCTTCAGCTTGGCCTTCAATCAAGGTACGTGACAGAAACATCCAGCCATGTCCGAGGCCGAAAGAGGTGCTACCCCTCTAGAAACTCTGTGCCAACAAATTGTGGCTCTGACCCAAGCTGTGACAAATCTGCAGGAGGGATACTTCAAGCTTGAGGGTTGGATACAGAACCGGTCCGCCACTGCCACCACCTCAACTCATAGCTCCATTACAAGTGCAACTGTGCCAGCCTCTACCTTTGGAAACTCTCAACCTGTGACTCCTACTGTGGTTATACCACCATCAGAACCTTCAGTGCCAACCCCTGAATGCTTTTCAGGCAATCGCAGGATATTCCGTGCATTGAAAAATGCATGTGAACTGTACTTTGTTTTGCAACCTCTGACTTTCTCATTAGAATTCGAGAAGGTGTGGTTCATTATCTCCTTGCTGACTGATGAGGCCCAGGCATGGGTGCACCACCTTCAGGAACAATGCAATTCTGTCCTTAACTCAGTAAAGACTTTCTTTGACTCCATGGCTTAACTTTATGATGATCAACCATGCACCGCTACAGCAGAGGCTGCATTACATGCACTTCAACAGGGTTGGCGGCCGGTGGAAGACTACACCAGTGAATTCTGCAGATGGACCACTGACACAGCCTGGAATGATGCCGCTCTAAAATATCAGTACTGCTTGGGCTTGTCAGAGATTTTGAAAGATGAACTTGCCCGGGTAAAAATGCTTAATTCTTTGGAGGACCTGGTCCAACTTGTCATCCACCTAGATCTTTGCTCTGGGAATGAGAGTCAGAAAAATACTCCTCCTTCAAACCCACATAGGTAATGCCCAAGGTTCAACCTACCTTGCCTACTAATCCTGCAGTCCAGCCAGCAACCACCTCCAAGGTTGAACCAATGCCTCTTTTGTCCTGCCTTGTCACCAGAGTGACCAAACTAAGGTGACGCCAGGCCAACCTATACCTATACTGTGGAGAATCTGGTCACTTCCGTATCAACTGTCCGGCCAAGTAAGTCTCTTCACAAACATTCTACTTCAAGTTTCAGAAATCCGGTCAGCTCACATTGTCCTTCCTATCTCTCTTTGCAGGTGGATGGAAGGGAAAACAAGTTCCAGGCTATCACTGATTATGGAGCTTGTTGCTGCTTTATGGACGTTAACCTAGCAAAAGATTCACAAATTTCTCTAGTGTCCAAGGGACAACAACTTAATATTCATCTTGTGGATGGAACACATCCAAAATTTGGGCCTATTACCCAAGGGACTGTGCCTATCTTAACCACCACCAGTTCAAGTCACCAAGAACTTTTACGCTTTGGCATCTTCTCCCATGTTTCCAGTAATTCTTGGCATACCCTGGTTATAAGCTCACAACCCCTGGTGGATTGGTGTACAGGGAGTGGATTGGTGTACAGGGAGTATAACATTCCAGTCAGCATATTGCCAGCAGAACTGCCTCAGTACAAACCCTGTTAACCTTACGCTGGGCCTCAGCAGCCAACTGGACTCTAATCTTTGCCTGCTCATACTACCAATATATCATGGCTTTCTTGATATTTTCAACAAGAAAGCAGCAGACACTTTTACACCACATCAGTCTTACAACTGCCCCATTGAGCTGCTCCCCAGGGCAGAGATTTCCTTTGGGTGCATATTCCCTCTGTCTGAACTGGAACTAGAAGCTCTTCAGCATTACATCGATGAAAATTTGAAAAAAGGTTTCATCCGCCCTTCAGCATCACCAGCAGGAACTGGCATATTCTTTGTGGAAAAAAAAGATCACTCTCTCCAACCTTGTGTGGACTATTGGGAGCTCCATAAGATTACCGTTAAAAACCGCTACCCGGTCCCCTTAATTTCTGAACGTTTTCAAAGATTCCGGACGGCCCAGATTTTTACTAAGCTTGACTTGTGGGGTGCCTATAACTTATATGCATCAGGAAAGGGGAAGAGTGGAAGACTGCATTTCAAACTCATTTTGGGCATTTAGATTACCTGGTGATGCCTTTTGCTTGTGTAATGCCCCTGCCAAGTTCCAACATTTTGTAAACGACATCTTCCGGGTGTACCTAGATATCTTTCTAGTCATATACCTGGGTGACATCCTGATCTTTTCCTCTTCTCTGGAAATGCATTGCATTCATGTAAAGAAAATTGTGACTGTCTTGAAAGTGCATGGACTGTACGCAAAAGTAGAAATGCGAGTTTGAAAGACAATCTATTCAATTTCTGGGGTTGGTGATCTCTACAGAAGGAATTTCTATGGACCCCCAAAATGTGTCCTCCATCCTTGAATGGCCAGCACCCAAAGACAAGCAGGGAGTTCAGAGATTTGTGGGATTTGCTCATGTTTATCGCAAATTCATAAAGAGCTTCTCTGACATCATTGTTCCCATCACTCACCCACCAACACACATGGTTCCAGTGGACCCTAGAGGCTCAAACCACCTTTGACAAGCTAAAGGCCCTCTTTACTTCAGCACCAGTTCTTCAGTATCTGGATCCAGCTCTATCTTATCTGCTTGAAGTTGACGCCTTGGAAACTGCAACAGGGGCCATATTATCACAACAACAAGGTCCTAAAGCCATACTGCACCCTGTGGCCTTTTTCTCTCAGAAGTTGAGCCAATCAGAGAGGAATTATGACGTGGGAGACAGGGAATTGCTGGCAATCAAATCAACACTTGAAGAGTGGAAATACCTACTGGAAGGTGCACCAAACCCTGTGCTAATCTTCATGGACCACTAAAACCTTGAGTACCTTAGGTCCGCTAAATGGTTGAGGCCTTGACAAGCCAGGTGGGCTCTTTTCTTTTCAAGATTTTCTTTCCATATCTTGTATCGTCCAGTATCTAGGAATGGCAAGAGAGACACTATCTCACATGTTTCCAGATACCTCTGAATCATCTTCATCGGACATCATCTTGTCATCCCAGAACTTTTTGTTGATGCAGCCTGACCTGATATCTATTAAACAAGCTTCTGCAGTCTGCCCTGAACCAGACAGCACCATTTCTCAGAAGCGAGAGGGTATGTGGTGGTGCAATAACAAAATCTTTGTTCCTGAAGAAATTCATCCACGTGTACTCAGCACTTTCCACGATCACCCACTGGCAGAACACTTTGGGACATATAAGACATTAAAATTGATCCAACGTTCCTTCTGGTGGCCAAACCTTAACCAGGATTGTAAGGACAATGTGGGGTCATGTACGAACTGTATTTGCAACAAAAGCAATCGATCTAAATCATGGGGCCTACTAGGACCATTGTCTGTTCCCAAGTGCCCATGGGAAATCATTTCCATGGACTTTATCGTGGACCTTCCTCCTTCTGAAGGGTTTACTTCCATCTTTGTGGTCATAGATCATTAATCCAAGATGGCCCACTTCATTCCTATGATTGGGACTCCTGCAGCTTCAGAAACGGCACATGCCTTCATTAAAGAAGTAGTGCAGCTACATGGGGTGCCAAGGAACATTAGATTCTGGAAATCGGTCGTGAAGGCCCTGAACATTGAGATCTGCTTATCCTCTGCATATCATCCTCAGAGTAATGGCCAGACTGAGCGTACTAATCAAATGCTGGAGCAGTATTTCAGATGTTTCTCATCCTTTTCACAGGCATATTGGGCCGCTCTGCTACCCCTTGCAGAATTTGCATATAACAATGCAGTCCATTCTTCCACAAATCAGGCTCCATTTTGGGCTAACTAGGGGTTCCACTGTACCTCCCTACCAGATATCATACCGGAAACAGAGTTGCCAGCGGTCAAAGGTGAGCTAGCTTTGCTTCAGTTTAACTCTCATCTACTCCAAGAAGTCATGCAGAAAGCTCAAGAAGACAGCAAAAATTACTATGGCAAAAAGCGGAGAGGGCAGTTGGTCCTAAAAGAAAAAGATAAAGTCTGGCTATCCACAGCTAACCTGAAGCTTGCATACTCTTCACAGAAGTTAAGTCCAAGATATATTGGGCCCTTTGAGGTAAAAAGGAAAATCAATCCTGTGGCCTACGAGTTGGTGTTACCCAGTACTTACAAGATTCACCCAGTGTTTCATGTCTCGCTGCTGAAGCCAGCCGTGCCTGATCCCTTTCCTGGTAGAAGCATGCCGCCACCTCCACTTGTAACTGTAGGTGATGAATTGGAGTTCAAAGTTGAATACATCCTGAACTGTAGATAGTGAGAATGTCAAACTCAGTATCTCATAAAATGGAAGGGTTACCTCCCTGAAGAGAATTCCTGGGAGCCAGAAAAAAATATGCATGCCCCTGAATTACTCCAAGACTTTGCCAACAGGTTACCAGAAAAGATGGCCAGAATGGGCATCTGGCGGCTGCCTTTTAGGGGGGGGGGCACTGTCAGGAAACTAGTGCAGCTAATGCTAATTCTTCTGCAGCTCATGTGAATTTCTCTTCATCTAATGCTAATTCCCATGCATCTAATGCATCTATCGGCACCTGCGCTTCTTGAGCCTTGAACCTCTGTCACCACATCAGGGGTGCTCAGACTAAAGCCACAAGGGCAGCCCTCTTGTCAACTCGGCCTTCAACCAAGTTTCGTGACACATATCCAGGCTAGACAATGGCACCCTGGCTGCTATTGCGTATCGGGATGAAATCCCTAGACCCATTGTCAAACCCTATGCTAATGCCATCAGGTTGCACCTCAGACTGTCCAGGAGCTCAGTGATAACCTTATCCAGATCTGGGAGGAAATACCCCAGGACACCATCCATCATCTCATTAGGAGAATGCCCCGATGTTGTCAGGCATGCATACAAGCACACGGGGGTCAAACAATACCATTTTGAGTTGCTGCAATGAAATTTCAGCAAAATGGACCTTTCATTTTTTCGCTTTGATCTTCAGGGTGTTTTTGAATTAAGTCCTCTGTAGGTTGCTAATTTTCATTTCCATCAAACAATGGAGCATCCATACGTTCCTAACACATTACCCAGTCCACATCAGTATTGATATCCAGCATGATATTTTCCCCATTGAGATGTGATGTATTTCAAAGTGTTCCTTTAATATTTTTGATATATATATATATATATATATATATATATATATATACAGTGCTCAGCATAAATGAGTACACCCCAACAGATTTGTCAGGAAGCCTTTGCTTTCCTTTCAGAATCAGCATTTTCTATGGGACACTATACTGCAAGATACTTCCATTGATTGAAAACAAGATTTGTAAATTTGCACGTACAAAAAAGTATTTTTTTATAACAAATTCATTCAATGTTGCAAAAATGAATTCACCCCAATGAAAGTCTTTGGAACAGAGCTAGATTTTAGACAACAAAATCCTAATTCATAAGAATTCAACTACAGGTGAGTCTACTTATTCTTTAAACGGGTGTCCAGAAGACAGTTGATTATAAAATGCATCACTTAACAAAGAAAACTCCTTCCTGCTGTCAGCAATGGCACCACATGGAAGAGAAATGCCACAAGGCCTGAGAAAGAAAATACTTTCTTTACACAAGAAAGGTGAAGGCTACAAGAAGATCAGTAAAGTTTTAAATATTAGTCAGAATACCGTAGCAAAAGTAGTACAAACATTTAACAAAAATGTAATTGCAACCATCTCACAGAGACATCCAGGCCATCCACGTAAGTTAACACCTCAACAGGAGCGCCTCCTGATGAGAGGGGTTGAAGAAAATCGACATGCAAGTTCACTGCAGGTAGCTAAAGAAATAGAAAGCCAAACTGGGGTGATTGTTTCCCATGACACAATACGGTGTATACTGCAGTGGAATGACATGCATGCGTGTTGTCCATGAAAGAAGCTTCTCCAAAAGCCCATGCACAAAAAAGACCACCTAAAATTTGCCAGGGCCCATGCTGAAAAAGAAGAAGACTACTGGGACTTCTATACTCGAGTGATGGGACCAAAAATGTTGTTGGAACTGATGGCCTCAAAACTGTATGGCGTCGCAATGGTGTGTAGTGTAAAGAAAAATGCATGGCCCCTACAGTGAAACATGATGGTGGCAGTGTCCTTCTGTGGGGCTGCATGAGTGCTGCTGGTGTTGGGGAGTTGCAATTCACAGATGTACTGCTATATATTGTGTCAGGGTCCGCCGCGGCTCCGTCCCCGGCGCATGCGCAATAGCGGCGGCTCACGCCGGGACACAGGCACCAGATCCCGGCGGGCTGCGGCTGACAGGAGGCCGCGCATGCGCAGTAGGAGCCGCGGGCGCGCCTCGGGCGACCAATGACAGCCCGGGGGCGCGTCCTGGGCGGCCAATGGCAGTGCAGGGCACGATATTTAAAGATGCCCTGCACTGTCACAAATCGCCGCAAGGTCTGATCTGATACCTGTGTTTCCTGTGATTGTGACCCGGATTGTTTGACGTTCTGCCTGCTCCTGCCCTGACCCGGATTATCTGACTACGCTGCCTTCCCCTGTGATTGACCTGGATTGTCCCTGACTACGCTGCCTTCTCCTGTTCCGACCCCCGGCTTGTTTGACCATTCTGCGGACTGACCCCGGTAACTGACCCAGCGTGCGACCTGACCACTCTCTGCCTACTGTCTCGGTACCACGCCATTTCCCACGGTGACAACCGCCGGTTTATCCTGCCAGGTCCTGCCGGCCTCCTCACATCTGACTCTACTCTGTCCTACTTCTATCCACGGAGGCTCCCTCTGCCACGGGTGGTATTGCTCGGAGGTCGTGACCTGGTCCTGGTTCTGCTCCAAGTCCGTCCCCACCATCAGGGGCCCTGGTGAAAACGCAGACCGGGACTTAGACCCCACGCTCCGGGTGATTCCGCCTAGTGGGCTGCCAGAGGTGCCACCTGGCGGATCCGTAACATATTGAAAGAAAAGATGCTACCATCACTCCGTGCCCTTGGTTGTCATGAACTTTCCCAACATGACAATAATCCAAAACACACATCGAAGGCCACTGTTGCATTTCTGACGAAGAAGAACAGGATGAAAGTGATTCAGTGGCCAAGTATGTCTCCTGATCTGAACCCAATCGAACACCTATGGGGAATTTTGAAGAGACAAGTTGAGCGTCACTTTCCATCCAGCATCTAGGTTCTAAAAGAGGTCATTCTTGAAGAATGGAAAAAGATAGATGTTGCAATATGTTGCCAACTTGTTCATTCCATGCCTAGAATACTTGGTGCTTCCTTACAAATCATGGAGGTCATACAAACTACTAGATGTAGTAGTTTTTGTTGTGGGGTGTATTCATTTTTGCATAAACTAATTTGAGTTAAACCTTATGTCCATGTAATGAGCTAAAAACTTTTGTCAATATTTTGAAAATGTTCTTGTGTTCATTGAGATATTGATTAAAATCTTACTTTTCAAAAGGAGTGTACTCATTAATGCTGAGCACTGTATATATATATATATATATATATATATATATATACTCTCCAGCCACTTTATTAGGTACACCAGTTTAATTGCTTGGCAGCGCAAATTGCTAATCAACCAACACATGGCAGCAACTCAATGCATTTAGACATCTAACCATGGTGAAGATGACTTGCTGAAGTTCAAACCAAGCATCAGATTGGGGAAGAAAGGGGCTTTAAATAACTTTGAACATGACATGGTTGTTGGTGCCAGATGGGCTGGTCTGAGTATTTCAAAAACTACTAATCTATTATTAGATATCGGTGCCCTGATGAGCTACTGTAGATCTAAGTTCACAGTGTGAAGCAATGTAAAACCATATGCTACAATATGAAACAATTTGACAGATGAAGCCTGTGTAAACTAGATCTTGCTACTAATCTAACTGTGGAAGTGCTACTTCACTCCAGTATGGGTGTACTGTTTCAGACAGTCTATTCAAGTGTGGGACTTGTCAAACCTCCTAGTATTCCCTCATCTGAGGTTTCCCGGTTATGTTCCTCATGAGTTTTAGCAGTCAATAATTTTTATTTTTATATTCATTTAACATTGTTTTAAATATATTTACATAAAGATACATAAATAACAACGCATTTATTAGGCTTATACTTTGATATTATGTATCGATCAATAACCATTCCTATACTGCACTTCTGTTTCCATTATGTTTTCTTTCTGTTTTCATTATTTTACATGCAATTTTGTTTTGCTGTATGCATTTATCTACTTCCCCCCACTATTATTACTATGTATTTGTCTATGCCCTGTGTTGGAATTGGGGCATTGCCGGGTACGAGCCTGTTATTGACATCTCTTTCTGTAGTGTACTGGCATCTGTGGTGGCACTGCGCATACACTCTTCCTGCACTGACAGGTCTAATTGCTGACTATTCTGCGCTTACTCATCCCTCTGCACCTGTCAGTGCAGGATGGCTTGGAGCTGGCTTTGCTTCAATAGGAGATACATTGTTTCAATAGCGGCGGCTGTTCTGGATCTCTTACTGGTCACTTCTGTGGGTAGTCCTGAGTGGCTGGCTACATATACTTGACTGTTGTCTTCAGTTCACACAGACTAGTTTTCAAACCCAGTCTAGTCCTTGATTTGATTTCACTCAATTACATATATTTTTTTACATTTGGCAGTCTGTGCCAACACACACCCCCTCCTCATAACCGCACCACCATCACTGGTCAGCCTAGTTGTGGTTTAACATATTTTTTATTTATTACAGAATTTATTTTTTTTTTTTTTACAATTTTTGTTTTTAGCTTCTGTTATTCTTTCCATTTCCGCCAGCTCTGAGTGCTTTGCTGCTCTCCCTGCTGACAGCTGTGGTTGTCAGTGTTTGAGAGGCTGTGTGCCAGCTCCCTGGGACCTGCCTCTTCTTGATCATATCATTGCTGATGGGTAGCTCATTTTAGACAGGTTAAAGAAGAAGCAAGGTTGCTTTGAAATGCATTCCTGTTTCAGCTCCAGCATTCTCCAACAACATAACTTCATAACCTGGGCCTTGTGTGCCTTCCACAGCTTTAGCTCTCCAGTGACAGTGGTTCCCTGCTTTCATTCAGTCTTTGCTCCCTGGCATGTGGCCAAGGCAAGGCATCCTAGTTGCCAATCCCAGAACCTACCCGACTGTCATGCTGAGCTCCTTTTTAACTTTGTGAGTGCTGTTTAACATTTTCTATTAAAATTACACTTTACATGCTACACTATGGTTGTTGTGCTTCTCTGCCCCTCACCTATTTTTTTCTCCTATAATCACTGTCACTTGAGGAGGGAATAAAACACTGTCTTACTTGAACCCTACCAATGTACAGTATACTGCACTTCAATTGGCTTAGCTCATGGATTCCAGGAAAAACTATATGTTTTTTTTTTCGCTTTATTCCGTGGTCGTGTTCTTGCTTTAGTACTTTAATCGTAGCTTTTTGTCTTATTCTGCATTGATGTTGATGTTTGATATCTCAGCTTTCTAGATGAGCAGTCCACATTTAGATTAGTATATGCCATAGGTGAATGCAGGGTTACTCTCCCAATTTTGTGCAGAAATATTTTGTTAGTGCTATGCATTTCTTGATCTCAAGATGGAGCAGTATTTTGTTTCATTATGTTCCTGTCCTTTAAATAAAGTATACTTTAGCCTCCGGAAAAGCAAAATGTGCTCCTGTTTTGGATGACTTACTTGTTTTGATAGCCACAGCCTGGCTTACTGTAACTTGCACCTATCTTCATCTTTGAGTTTCTTCATTTGACTTTGAATTGAATGGTTTCATGTGTGCCGTAGGACTATGCATTACATATCAACATCATATAAAAGTAAAATAAGTGGCACACTGGCTCAGTGGAATCTTCAGGAGCCTATGAAAACAAGCCAAACAAATTATTTGTGATTTCACTGCACAGCCTTAAGCTGGCCACAGACTGATCAAAATTTGGCCAGTTCAGCAGTAACCAGCAGAACTTTGATCCATCTTTGGGCAAGCTTATTGTATTGAATTTGATCTGTTGATCAACTTCAGTACAACCAGCCTGACGGGTCTTTTTTGTATGATCAGTAGAGTCTGACTTCTTACTGTTAGAATACAATAGCGCAGCAAGAGGAAGCACTGACTGTATTGATGAAGGAATCAAGTGATTTTCTGTCCTTTGACCCCTGCTTGAAGGAGAGAAAATTGCCTAATCTATAGCCAGCCTAAGGCTCTAAAAGTTGCCAGTAATGTAAGTAAAGGTTTAGTTTTGTGGCAAGCAAGTCAAAAGTCACACTTTTTGCAAACTAGCAGAAACATTTATTGATTCACAAATGATAATAATATTACCAATGCGTTCTCTCTACTGATTGCAGCTATTTGGACATGCAACCACAGAACCATACACCCTGTCACTTCAGTAACATCAGTCATAAAAAGATGACAAGCTATTGATTTCATAACTGTTTGTTATGTGCGATTAAAATGTTTGCTTCCTCATCCATACAAAAAGGTTGTTTTATGGATTAGTTAAAGACCATTCACATTCCACTGATACATTGACTCAATTTTTTTTAGACTAATTGCAAGTACGTGGAAGAGTGTTTTTTTTTTTAAATAGCTTGCCCATTATTAAGGCTGACATTTCCAAGTTTATTTCAACATTAAATTAAGCACTGTCCATTATCACACACTGGAGCATAGGCTCCTCCTGTCACTCTCAGGAAGAGCCTAATTGAGTTAGGCACTGCCCACACATACAATCTCTATTGGAATAAATGATTATTGTATATAATAGGATCCATCAGACAAACATTATAATTATTCAAAAGTCAAACCTTTCAAACCTTTCTATACCGCTAGGGCCAATTTCCTTGTTGCCATCATTGTAGCACTATATTGTTTCTATAGTTTTCAAATGTTAAAAAGCAAAACATGAATGTTCTTTGTTGGGAACAGAAGAAAATTCAAGACCTTGTACAGACATATTGGAGCAATATAGATAATAAATGTTATATTCAGGTTAGCTGGAAATCTGTTAAAAAAGGAACTTACCTTATCTCTGTTTCAAACGAATCCCTCAACGTGCTGATGACAGTGCTCTTGCATTTGGTTTCAGTTTTCATCTTCTCCATTCAGCTGATAAGTGGTGTGAAGTGGATGGTTGAACTAATGTATTTTTACAAAGCAAGCTGATCTTCTCATCCGTTGGCAGAGGACATCATAAGCATTTATCTTTTTCCTGCTCAAGTGCCCAGCGCAGGTGGACTGGGACCAGCAGTTATATGGTTCATCAAGGAGCACTTGTAAAAACCTAATCATTTTTAGTTGTCCTTCAATAATTACACAGATACAAGGTTATGTGCACCACTGGGTATATTCATTTTCCGATAACACGCTGCTTCTATTTCTTAATTTGTTCTGTTCATATGTGACAGACTGTTCAGTCTTGTTCATATTAATTTTCTGATTTAAAAAATGTATAACAAAATTGAGTTTATATTTCTGAAAGTTTGATGATGCTTAGATTTAACATTAAATATCTAAAGAATTATATATTGCAATACATTGAAAGTTAGAGCTGGAGAGGGGGGGGTTAAACTAAAAGTTAATTCAATCATCAATGGTGGTATCATACATGGTTAGGGAGTTTGATGAAATTTATATCTTTACCACCTATGTCAAGAGAGAAGAGGAAACTAGACTTGTTAGGCCTGTGAGTATGTATGATAGAGATTTGATTTGCATTTGGCGCAATCGAACATATACAGAAACACTAGCCTACACACGAATCACATGGGTCATAAAACAGATCCAATACAGTTTTAGTGATGTGTTTATAAAAGAACAACTCTCCCTTGGTGCTACCATCATACATGTATCATACATACATACATACATACATATACATTTATCACAAATTACACAAGATAGATCCAATAGTTCCCATGATGTGTGTATAAAAGAACTGATCTCCCTTGGTGCTGATCAGACCCTTAACATCTCCATTGTGGCCACTTCTACCACTTGGTTCAATGCTTTAAATTGTGCATTCTCTGTACACTCAGTAATTCTTATTAGCAGATGGAGTCTCACTACCGTGCCATTCCACTTTCATCCATACCCATTTTTCTGGTCACTTCATGTTCATATATGCCTACTGTC